GTGAGGGACATACAGCATTCTGAGTTGAGAATGTCGTTCTTAACTTGGAGATAAAGGGCCCATCCGGTTTTGAAAATCAGTTGTGTATTTTTAGAACATGTATGATTTCCATGTCATTCTCATATGGTGACATTATTATGATGTCAAATTTTCTGTTGATATTAGGAGGAGACTGCAAAGGAGAAAAATTACAATAAAAGCCGATGTCGGCAGAATGATGAATTAACTAAGATACAGTCTAGTTGGCCTTAAACTAGCAAACTCAATTCCAAGGTCAACTGAGGACTCTGCAGCACTCTCGAGCAATTCAACTGAATGAGGAGGGAGGGAGAGGTGGGGGTGGACTTGGCTAGAATCCAGCAACATTCTAGTCAAGTTGGAACTCAGAGTCATTCTCAAGGATTTACTTGAGTGGTTCTCAAGTTTTTCCCTGTTGCTTCTTAGAGAATATGAAGCTCCAGCCACATTCCAGTGGTCCACGGACCACACGGATTCATGATCTGCTTTAAAAGCCTTGTGATGTTTGATGAGATCGACTGGTTTTGCTAAAATGCTCAAACTAATGTGAAGTCTTTGAAAGACTGCAGGTAGAGTCAGTGCAAAGATGAGATTTTAGAAAGAGCAAAACCAAGTAACCAGCTTGTATGTTGGGGGAAAGTCAGGTGATCTCTTAACAAGGAACATGGAAGCCTTGAGAGGAGATATGAGCCTCCAAGGTGGACAAGGCATGCCATTTTTTTTCTGGAAGCATTTTTTTACCTTTGAGGCCCTTTGCTTATTTTTTTTTTGCAAAATCCGAGCCTACGGGAATTCTATTTTGGAAAGATAAAGGTATATACAAATAGGTATTCAAACCATCAAAAAAATTTAGCCTTGAGAAAAGTCTTCAGATGGCTCAGTGTCAAAAGGTTAAAAGGAGAGAACATGTAGTCATTGAGTTAATGGGAAGTATTTCACTAAAAGAACAACAACAAAAAAACATTATTATTAAAAAAGAACCCAAAGACTTAACGTTATTTGGGAAAAGAGAAGACGCTACACTTCTGCTACCTTTTGTGGCTGGACGATTTCGTGGCTCAGCCTCCTGTTTATCTGGCCCTCTAATCTTGGCCATTGCCAAACTCCCAACCCCCAATCGATGAGAACCCCAGCACGGGGCACTTCTTTTCAAGATCAGGTTGCAGAGAAAACAAATTCCCCGTGGTAGAGATTATGATGTGGAAGGTCTCAGCTCCTGTTCTCAGACTTAGCATTTGGAAAACATTGGGCAGAGACGCATAAGGCAGGCGTCCCAGGGGAATGGGAGTCCAAGAATTTTCATAAAGAGTGAATTAAAAAAAACAATCCCAGGGAGGGGAAGGAAGAGAACAGTGATACTTGCTGAATATACATGTTGGAAATCGCCAATGTAAACATATACTGGGAAAGCACCTGTGGACCTGACTTGGGTTGGTGAGTGGGCGGACGGGGGTGTCAAAGGTCCAGGGTGCTTATGTTCACCTTCCCTTTGTGTGAGGACTCCCAGTGAGCTCCCTGTGGGGGTGTCATGGTATTTGGACCCGCTGCACAGGTCAGTTTGCTCAAGTAACAGGAACTAAAACCGTGCTGAAAGTGGGGCTGTTCTCATTTTTGCTTTCATCATAATTGAAGAATGACTTGTCAGCTAGTAGATCACTCAAAGTGATTCTGGGTGGTACATTCTCTATGGCTTTGGTATATCATTTGAGTGACATCTGTATAACAAATGCTTCCATTTACAATGTCTTATATTTGTGAATAAAGTTTATTAGAATTTACAGGTTTAAGAATTAAAATAGAAGTAGGATCGTTGTTGAACTTGTGTCATTCCAGTGAGAAGTAGTATTAATCTAGGGCTAAATAAACTAATTGAGAAAAAAAAAAGCCCCATTCATTCTTTGCCAACTACATTCCAATAAAATTTCACTTTTCATGTTCAGTAATTATGTATCAAGATTTAAATTTGTTTATGTTTTCGATGGGCTGTTTACTAGTAATCTTCGTAATGATAAGCCAATCCAGGAGAAAATGATTTTTTTAAGACTTCAAGATTTGTGGTCTTAGGCAATAAAAAAAGTTCAATTTATGTACATATTTTTGTTGCAGAGAAGTCTGGGAGAGTGGTCAGTACAAGATTTTCAAGTATAAAATTATATTTCAGTAGGATATGTGTGAGAGAGTGGAATGGAAATATGAATTTAAGAAAAAAATAATGTAAAATTGCTAATCATTCAAGAAGTCGTGTGCATCTATTTTAAACTGACGGCAGTGAAAATCAGATCTCTGTGGCATTGTGATCCCCCGGCCCCATCTAAAAGACTGCTTCAGTAGGTTTATTCTATAGGCCACCATTTACAGTGTTGCAGGTTATATTCTTTCCAACTATTTAAAGAGGTGAAACTTTTTAGATGTTAATTTTTAAAAGAGAAGAGGCAGTATGCATAGATTTTTAAAAATTTTTGTGAGTTGAGAATAGAAAAAGTTTCAAGGCTGACATGGGGGGCAGGATACATAGTGGAGTCAAAAAACCTCGATTCTGCCATTTATTAGCCCTGTGACTTTGAAAATAACTTAAACGGATTCAGCTTGTTTTTCCTGTACAGTGGACATCAGACTTTTCTTACTAAACTGTGGTGAAAACAAAGTGACTTGATGTGGGCAGCGCTCTTAGCAGAGAGTCCTGAATATCGTCAGGAAATGTCAGTTTCTCTTCGCTTCTCCCAAGGCTGTTATGGTTCCTCTCTCCATCTCCTTCATTTCTCTCTTCCTTCACATGCATTCAAAGTTAGCCTCATCTTATGTCCCCTGTTAAATATATTTGATTCACATTCTAAAAGCCCCGAAGTCTCTTCTATGAGTCCATTCATTCAACAAATATACATTGCGCGGTGACTATCTTCCAGGTGCTATTATGGCACTGGGGAGGAATCTGAGAATAAAGAAAAGACACGATCCCTGTTGTTATAGAGCTTATATGGTGGATGAGTGCATGGCGATGAGCGTGCATTGGCTACTCCCAGGATAGCAGTGTCCTTTCACATTTGGAAGTTCCACTGACTAATGGGAGACCCGTTAGGTTTTTGCAGATTGGTCCATCCAGTCATCCAGCCAGCCAGCCAGCCAGCCAGCCAGCCAGGCACTGAATTAAAATGCACTGAGAAACTCCTAGGTATTAGGACTATGATCTGTGATTAGGCATTCTTCTCCTAAAAGGAGACCACAGCAACACTCCATTTTAATAAAATACCCCTTGTGCGCTCTTCATCACAATACTTGTGGAGATGAATTGCATCGTGTATCTATTTTGAGCTTAAAATGCAAATATCTCTGGTTTTCTTTAATTTTTGACTGTAATTCCTAATTGCTTAAAATATTGAGTATATTTTGAATGATTTAAACCAATTTGTGTATTCTTTCCAAAACAATAATTTGTTTTCCTGGGACTTGCTTCTAGAATGCAACTAAAAAAGTATTTAAAATGATGGATTTAGGGATGGGAAAAGATCTGGGCACTCAAAGTAATTCTCTTGATTTCTAATGATTTTGAAACTATCATGGAACAGTTTCTACCACGTTGTTTTACCACTTACTCAGAAAACTAGTCCCCAGCACTGAGTTAGTTTATCCAGATTTTATCCAGAAATTTAAAAATAGCTCGTAATGTTCAAAGCTCCCAGTTTTTTCTCTCTATTCAGTTCTCTTTGCTGTACAGGTATACAGCGAAGCCAAAGTTTTTAAGATGAGACTTTTCAGTTGCTCTGAGCCAAAGAGATCTTTTATCAAAGTATAGAGTTCTTCGAGTCAAACTTGTTTCTTTATTGAGATAAAGTTCACAAAATAGTATTCACCTTTTGACTCTTTTAATTATGATTCAGTGGTTTTCAGTACATTCATAATGTTGTGCAACCATCACCACTAATTCCAGAACATTCAGCACCTCTAAAAGAAACCCTCTACCTCCGAATTCTTCCCTCCCTTAGCCTCTGACAATAACTAATCTATTTGCTGTCTGTATGAATTTGCCTATTTTGGATATTTCACATACATGAACTCATACCATATGTGACTTCTTGGCATAATGTTTTCAAAGTCCATCCATTCTGTATCATGCATCAGTACTTCATTCTTTTCATGGTTGAATCCATTGTAAGGATATAGCACATTTTGCTTATCCAGTCATCAGTTGATGAACATTTGGGTTGTTTTTGTTTTGGGGGCCATGATGAATAATGTTATGAATTTTCATCTACAAGTTTGTGCGTATAGCCAGTCTTCTCAGTTATATACCTAGGAATGGAATTGTTAGGTCATATGGTAACTGTATGTTTAACTTTTTGAGGAACTGCTAAAATGTTTTCACAACGGTTGTACCATTTGACATAAATAAATAGATAGATAGATAGATAGGTAGATAGATATATAGATAAATAAATAAATTTCCTGTATGCGTACAATATGCGTATTTCTATACTAGAGGGTTCCTTTCCTAGTTTCGATAGTTAAAACAAAAAGCACTTAAGTGACTTTTAACTCAGATTTTAAGGGAAAGGATTAAATAGAAGAAAATTCCACTTAGCAAAATTAAGCAATAATTTTTATGCAACCATTTTATATTTATAGACATAGATATATCTTGTTATTTCTCAAAAATATAATTATAACAGATAGAGAATTTGAGAATATTTTTACTTCTAAGGATAAAAATGAAAATTTATTCGGTTTAACCATCACGAAGAAAAGATTATGTCAAAAAGCCATTGAAGTTCCTCTTTAGAAAATATTTTCATCACTGACTATGAATAATGAAAGTAGTTTTTTCAACATTATAATCCATACTGTGTTTTAAGAGATATGTTTATATTTAACACATACAGACTTTAAATCCAGGACACAGAACCTCGCTTATTAATGGGAGTCATCTGGAAGAGAAGAGAAGAGTGGCAGTTTTTTGTCAAGTACGCAGACTGACTGTGCAGTAAGCCATGCGCGTGGAGCTAGCGAGAGGCTCTTTCAGGAGGACCAAGCCCCTGGCCACAAATCCCTGGTGCGTTTCTTCAATAGATCTTCAAAAGATCACTTGCTTTTATCCAATAACGTCTCCTCAATGTTGGTTCTGTAGGGATGAATTATATTAATACTTAATGTGTTGAAAAGCAATCGTTCTAGAAATATGTGCATTATGCCTGCCATTTTATGATTCATTTTTATTATTAAACACCAATCCTCTCTAGTGTCCTTGACTTTCACCCATATAATCACCCAATGGGAAGACGCTCATCTAAAACCTAGAGATTCTTGCTCTCTTACTAAGTTTGAATAGCAAAAACCTTCCTATCTGTCTGGAATAGCAAGTCCCCATAACTAGTAGAGCCATGACGACACACTTAACCAGTGTGGTCGTCCATGTGACTCTCTCCAAAGATGTCATGTCATAACCCCTGGACACCGTGATATGTTCTGTTACAAAGCAACGGGGGATTATGGTTTCAGATGGAATTAAGATCGCTAAGCAGCTGACCTTTTGAGGGAGAGACTGTCCTGGATTCTCAGAATGGGCCCAGTGTCCGTGGAAGCGAAAGAAAGAGGCAGGACGGTGAGCTTCAGAGAAGCGACGTGATGATGGAAGCAGAGGTCGGGGGGATGCAGCAGGATAGAGGAGGCTCCGCCTGCCGTTGCTGGCTTTGAAGATGGGAGGGAGTGGGTGCCAAGGAATGCAGCCTTTGGAATCTGGCAAAAGCGGGAAAATGGATTCTTTCCTGGCGCTTCCAGAAGGATCACAGCGCTGCCAGCACCTTGAGTTTCGCCATTGAGACCCGTTTTGCACTTATGACTTCCAGGACCATAGAGAGGAAATTTGTGTTGTTTGAAGCCACTGAGTTTGCGGCGATGTGTTACGGCATCAGGAGGAGACTGATACGAGGTGGTTAGAAGTGACTCAAAAAGATGTTGGGAGTTAAGGCAGAGAAATGCTAAATAGTGAAAAATATGAAAAGTTTTGACGCTGATGAAGGTGTAACATGGGAAATGAAGGACGAGAGGGTGTCGAGAAGGAAATTGTATTCATTTCAGAAATGCAGTCAAGTCTTATTTATTTAGAGCGGACGTGGAAGACACTGCAAAGTAATCTTAATTTGGAATGGTTCTTCGAAGAAGAAAAAAAGAATTGTCTTATTTTTCACTATGTGCGGCAGCAGGAGGAGGAAGCAGAGGGAAGGGAGAAGGAACAGGGACAGGATTCAGACCTGACCTGAGCCGGGTCCCCTCTGCGTCACTCTACCTGTGACCTTTTGAACATCTTATCAACATCTCTAAGTCAGTTTTCTCTTGTGTAAAATGTGTAATGATGTAATAGATTCCCATTTACAGATGTCCAAAGCGATAAGGACCCAGTGAACAAACAGTAGCTGTAAATACTTTAACTTGATTTAAAACAGTTTATTCTCGGTGTTAAAACCCCTTTCCCTTTTTAAATTTCAGTTTTGTTTTTTTCCTCTTAATTTAGTCAGTTCACTGAAATGCTAACCTGGCCTTTACTGGAATTTTCATGAATTCCAGTAGAAGGGTCGGGAGAAGGGGAACATCAGTGTCAGAGCCCGTGAGTCGGGCCAGCCTCCACCCCTTCCATCTCCTGTCTCCTAATCAAGGTCTCCCCTAGGGGAGCGATAGCTCTGTGAACTTCCATAGTGTGTATCAACATCTCTGCACAAGAGCAAGGAGCAGAGGGTAGAGAAGGGAGGCTCACTTAGGACCGTGATGTTTCAGAGAGGAAATGAGAACAGAGGACAAAGCTGGCAGAGAAATGGCAGCCCAGGCTGGGCCCCAGATCTCCTCCCGCCCTTGGGGATGATGTGATCTGAAGCCCCAACTCCATGTTTTAAGGGTGGATAAGGAAGCTCTTGGACAAATCGTTTCAGAGAGAAGATGAGAACAGAGGACAAAGCTGGCAGAGAAATGACAGCCCAGGCTGGGCCCCAGTTCTCCTCCCGCCCTTGGGGATGATGTGACCTGAAGCCCCAACTCCATCGTTGCTGTTTTAAGGGTGGATAAGGAAGCTCTTGGACAAATATGAGATCGAAGTAAATGTGTGTGGATGTTAGCGGTTGTCTCAGTTCCGGCTGCTATGACCCATACCCCAGACTGGGAGGTGTATTAGCAATGAGCATCTCCCTCTTACAGTTCTGGAGGGATCTGAGATCAGGGAACCAGCATGGTCGGTTCTGGTGAAGGCTCTCTTCCAAGTTGCAGACTGTTGGCTTCTCGTTGTGTCTTCACGTGGCGGAAAGAGGGTGAGAGAGTTCTCTGGTCCCTTTTATTGAGGGCACTGATCCCATTCAGGAGGGCTCCACCCTCATGACCTAATCACCTCCCAAAAGCCCCACCTCCTAATGCTATCACATCGAGAGAGGGGAGGATTTCAACATATGCATTGGGCGGGGGGACGGTTTGTACAAATATTTAGTCTACACAGTGGTCTCTTTTGGTCGAATCTCTCCTCTGTTAAAATTTATTTATAATAACAATGTCACCCCAATTAGATTTCTGCCCCAATTAGATTTCTCCCTGAACTATCTAACTCTTCCCTGACTAGCCCATATTATTACCCTTGCCCTCCAAACCATCTTCCAGCCCAGTTAAGCTTTCTTCCATCCTCCCCATTTCCAGTTAGTTCCTTTTAATGGCATCCAGGATACACTGTTCTTTGCACTGTCCCCAAGCAAA